ATAATGACTGAAAAAAATATGTCTGTACTTTTTAAATGTATGTACATAGTTTTAATTGGTACTATGTGCAGGATTTTATTTTCAGATGTTTCCGTATGTGGATTTTAAGGCCTAATTTTCAGGGCAAAATAAAAAGACCCCAGCCCCCCCCCCCCCCCCCCCCCCCCTCCCTCCCTTTTTCCCAGCAGGCATATCAATAGAGGTGACTAGGATGTGTTGGACTGAAAGGCGTAAGTATCACAGCCTAGCTGTAAACCACAACACAAAGTTGCAACAGCCTTTTTAAATGCGAACACAGAAGATCTCAATATGTTGACAGACATGAGACTGAGCCCTTCCTTTGTTGTATCAGGGCCTCTACCATTGCTAACCAATAATCTCCTGGTGCTCAAGTTTTTAGATCACAAAAGTTTAACAGTAAGTCTTCACTGACGAGATTGTTGGAGATAAAATGCACTGTGTAAACAGTGTACATATTGTATTAGTGTCCAGATGTGAGGCTGGGAGGGATATTTCTGGTGTCGGGACAAAAACTGTTGAGGCAATGTCAGTAAGCGCAAAGATACATATAACACAAAGCATATTCATCCCCATACAGTGTTACAAGTGCCAGACATGGTCATTAACAACAATTTAAAATGTGTAACCTTGGAAACGTGAGTATGTGACCATAAAAAAAGAAAAATCAGGAGTGATGTCATAAGGGTAAGAATTTGAGGTATTACTGAATTAAACACAAAAACAGCAAATAAAATGGTTGCTCACTCATTCACACTTATTTGTATACATACTATTGGTTACTTACCTCTCAGGAAGATTGCGAAGGAAACACTCTTAATTAGTCTACGTTTACGACATGCTTGCTAGAGGCAGTGTGTATATATTTTTTTTCCTGCCCCAGAACCCACAGAGGGAAACTAAGTTCAGACCCCAGGAAAGGCATAATTATAATTGTTCTGGAATGGGCTTTAGAAACTACCCAGTCCCATAAATGGGGGTACCAGACAATTATTTGCTAGGTGATCTTAAGTTTTGGTCCTAATGTTCTGTAGAACAGAAGGAACTAAACTATCATAAAGAATAGCATAATTTATGTATTAGTTACCTGGGGTGATAACATTGTCAGAAAAGTGCACTGTTTTTGGACTAACCAAAGTAGGTATTGTGAATTATATAGCACAGAAGGATTTAATAGCAGCTTGTCCGTATAAATAAAAAAAAACCTGAAATTTTATCATCGTGTTTATAATTGATAAATCATCATTTCTGTTGACATCCCCATGTGAGTTCAAGGGCTCCAATATAAGGGGGAGGTGAAATAGACCCTCTACTCCTCTAACAAGCAGGTCATACAAGTCGACTATTTAGGGCTGTTTCCTTCAAAGTCGGGGTTCATCTGCCTGAGAGAATCAACAGTCTGCACGCAAATAAACCTGATCTCTAAAATGGACGTGCACACAAGACTAAAGTCCAGAAGGGGGTGAACAGTCAGAATTCTCCACCTGAGTTTACAGCCGGTTGGGGGGTAGTCGAAGAAGAGGAGAGCAAAAAAGAAACTGAAATGAGAACATCAAGAAATGGACAGGACGACTAAGTTATACATTTATTCATCAAGCGGAAAAAAGATAAAGATGGCGGATTTTATGTGCTAGTGCTTCCATCAATACATTTGAACGACCCTAACGGGTCAAGGGTTATGCTATGTATGTTAACCACTACAGACACGGCCAGTTAATGAGCTTTCTTAATAACTACTTCTGGCCCAAACAAGGGATCGTTTATGCTGGATACTATTCGTGTGCACCAGTCAAAGTGTTTTAGTATATATCTATAGCTTAGGGTTTAAAAAAAGTCGGGAGATGTTAACCAGCATCATTGCAAACGGTTGAAAACCATAAGTGCTCTACCACCAGTACGGACAGCTCATAAGAAACTGTCCGCCTGTATCGCCGTCAGCACGCAACTCCGTAGCTGCAGCGACGTTCCTCCATTTACCCCAGAGTGTTAACTCTGGTACCCATTATCTAGAGGCTGGGTGAACCCCGGGAACCGTCTGGTTTCGAACACGGGCCGTGGGCTGCAGCGAGTCGCAGGTGGATTTGAAAGCGAGTCTCCTATCGACTGCGCTAACGTGGCCCCATATCTTAGGTTAAGTCAGGCAAACTTACTCAACCCAACACCACAAGTCATTCACAATGTGCTGTGTATTTAGACCCAGTGGATGCAGTATACCCATGCTTTTGTTGTCATCATTATTTTTTTTCAATCAGGCGTCGACTCTAATCGGAAAGAGTTATGAAGATACAAACTGGCAAGCTCCGACTAGAATGGGTTGAACAGCATCCAGAAGTCCCGCCTCGAGAAACTATCTTGGCTGTACACAGGGAACACGCTGAGGTTTAAAAAAAAAATATGAAAGAGCTACAGCTTATCATATTTGTCCTTTAAACGTGTCACCACAGTTTGATAAAGCACATATGTCTAAAATTCAAGAAAAGGCATCAGCAGGCCGTGTCACTGTGATCTAGCACAATGTTCTGGTGGGCCAGAAAAGTCCAAATGGACCGTAAAGAAAGTTCTGCCTTTTCATATAACAGGTTGGGTAGCAAGGATTGGTATGTACAGTCCCACCTAAAAAGTGGGAAATGCCTGCGCGTAACTTATAGCCTCTGCCAATCAAGTCATCCGTACCTACACGTGGTGCTACCTGTTGTAACAGACATGGCTCTGGCGCATAGCAAGTCTCTATCGCTAACTAAATGGACCAACGAGCATGAATGGGTAAAATACCAGGCTATGGCTGGGGTAAGCCAGACAGAAACCCTCGGTGGAGTGTGACACCCCCACCCCCCGCAAGATGCGACCGATGCTGGGCCCACCGGCGCGTGGACATGTCCCGATCCCCACTAAGGTCAAACCCAGGGAGCCCACCCTGGATAATCAAAGGTCGAGAAGGGAAACTCCCACAACCTCTGAATTCTGGCAGGCAGTGTTTGGATGAACCAGGACACGGATAGGAAGACTCCGTAACTTTCCCCACCGAAGACGGACATGTTGGCCTGAATGGCGTGAGCACCCAGAAATGGAAACGGACATCAACGCAATATACGGTTAATGAGTATGCTTAGATACGAACATCGTTATGGGGCTGCTCCTGTGGACTACCACCAAACGGGAACGACCTACAGCTGACATGCGAGTTCATAGAGGCAACCCACCTGATGGTCTGATCTGAGCATACGAAACCGAACGCAAAGAAGTAGAAGATGTCACAAGTTCGGGTAGATAGTTTTTATCTTCCAGGTTGCACTCTGTAGGATTAACACATCAAGGATTAGAATCAAAAGATGTCGGATCAACTAAAAATTGTTATTTTATGATATTGGATTTAACGAATAAACTGCTATCTTCATTTGTTTTTGTTTCTGTGTTTGATTAACTGTCAGATGGGCATCGAAACAATTGTCCCTGATTGGTCAAGATACAAGGGCAAAAATGTTGAGGAACACTGGTCTAGCAAATATGACGAAGGAGTATTCTCTTCTAGACTGTCCTAGCACGCAAGCCTGGCATGGATGTGGACCAAAGCACACATGCCTTCTTTGAGGGCAAACTAGGACGCGTGGGTGAAAATGAAACACGCATAGTCACAAAATCCCGCCCAGATGAGTAAGTTTCCGGCAGAAGAGACACCAGCATTTTCACATCAATTGTATTTCCGTGTGTCTATTTATCTACCAGTCTCATCTGTTAATCATTACCTCTAACAAAAGATCTATTTATTATTATAGTGAATAATCGCACGTTGTCGGCTCTGTGGCTAAGTCGATGCGAACGCTTCGTAATGCCGAGATGCCGGCTTCGATCACAGCTGCGGACCATGCGCCTTGCGATGGTTTCGACAGTGGTATCAGGGGCCGACCGTTCAGCAGCAATGGCAAACTACTGGACGTAAATTTGCCTAGAGAAACCACACAACAGCCAGGGCCTGCTGGGGTTGCTTCTGCAACGTCCTGTAAAGGATACGCAACAAACCTAAAATCGCCCGTTAGATTGATTGTGCATCTGTTTATCATTGTCTACTATACTCAAATAATTAAATCTCCCTCCCCCCCCCCCCCCCCCCAAAAAAAAAAAAAACTATCGTCAGTTAGATATGACATCATAATGTATTTCATTATTTAGTGAGCTGATGGTTTCCCCCTTTCATACTTTACCTCCTTAACAAGTCTCCATCGTTGGATCCTTCAACACACCAATTACAACCCCGTCATAATTGAAGTTCGTGCAGGTTTCTTCGTAGTTAGTTAGTCGACTGATTATCATCATCGCACCATTCAGTCCATATCAGTATCTCCCTCAGCGTGTAGTGGCTTTGACACCAGTTCTGTGTTGGTTTACTATTCTTGTTTGGGCCCACATGTAGCAGTCTCGTCTGGCTTCATCCCCTTTGGTGTTATTTTCGTGTAGTCTCGTCAGTGTTGCAGATTCACAATCATTACTTGATTCGTTTAATCGAGCGGCCTCTCGAGGGCATTCAGTTTATCAGGAAAGAGGAGAACTAAAGAAGGGGCTGTTTCAAAAAAAAAACCTTCAACTTTGAACTTTGACTTTACGAGTACACACGCTCCTGACCCCAGGACTTATAAAAGTGTCACGCCCAAAAGTCTAAGACATGCATTATTCAGCCGGTCAGTTTTGACAACATATCTTCCTTCATGATTTGACGGTTATTTCAGCTACAATTTACTAAGCTTGTTTCGTCTTCAGCGCGCTGAGAATTGGTTACATTAATGTCTCTGTAGTCAAATGCAAGAGCTGTCGTCTGCACACAAATAATACCGACGGTTGTATTTGCGTCACGTGACCGAGAGGCGCCATCTTGTACACTTCTCAGGACAGTAATTCTGTTGGATGCTGTCTTCCAAGGCCGGGCTTCTCATCACGGATTGCACAGAAAACAGCCGCAACTTTTGTTTATTTACATAGACGCAACCATCATGTCTTTATTTAAAAGAAGTAAAAGCGACACGCTTACGGAATATACATGCAGCATACGTTTTTTGGACGATACTGAATCGATTCAGTTGACTTTCAAGGTAAGGAGGTTTCTTCTTCTTGAGTTCTCTTCCTATGATGGATCCTTCTCATGACTCCTCACTTGCTCTACTCGGGTGTGTGTGGTGTAATTCTGTTGGATTGTTTGCGGCATGTAATAGTAATCAGATAGTGTGGTAATGTATCTCAGACGTTTAGATAGTTATGTGATAATGGCCATCATTAATGAGATCTTGGAGTTCATTGATTCAGATATCGGATCCCGCCTCCATTCATCTGTGTGATTAGATAAGACCTATGTTACCATTTGGTGACTCAAAGTGTTTGCATGTATAATTATTCATTATGTCATTCAGATTATGTCTCCGCCGTCTTCTGGATCTGCCTTGTAGTCTAAGACAAGACTATTCAGCTCTCTTGTGTACACAGTTTTTGCCTCTCTGTCATTTGACATTCTCTCAGTATGCCGCAACAATTTCGGTCTGTTAGTTAGTGCTCATGCTCATGACATAATGGATGCCAGTCAGTGGTGATTTTTAACAGATCTCATCATCATCATCAGTTTCGTTGTTGCTTCTCTCTTCATTTTTCCCTGTTTGCATCTTTGTGTTTGAGGGGCGCCAAAGATTTGTTATAAGATTGTTTTCAAACATTTATAATAAGGCTTCATCTTATTTTACTATATTATAGTTGTTGCAGTTGCATTTTCAATTATAATGTGGTTTAATTTTTAACGTATGTCCAGTGAAAGTTAAACACTAAAGACATGGAACAAAAGTTTTAATGCATTTGTAAACAAAGTGACATAAAATGGTGCAACAGCACAAAGAATAAAAATAAATCAGTGAATATTATGATGTGTCATGTGATAACCTATTGACAACAAAAATAAAAGCAGGCATCTTATTAATTCTCATCTGTTTAAAATGTTAATGTTATCTTTATGAGTAAAAGTAAATTAAATTTATGTTTGGTAGTTAATTCAGTTATTCTTTATGCCTGTCCTTATTGGACACAAAAGAAATGAGTTGTGTATCACATGAATTTCTTTTATCATCACAATCAGTTCTCTTTATGCCTAGTGGCACATGAGGCACATGCTTTCTTGTTCTGTGCAATCTTCAGTGCAGTTTTCCATGTCAGAGATGTCGCATTCAGGTCACTCTCCATCGTTCATCTCCATGTTGTTTTTGGGCAGCCTTTCTTTCTCTTTTCTCTGATGTCCATGTGAGAGCTGTTTTAGCAGGTATATCAGAATTCATTCTCATAACGTGGCCAAGCCATTTCTATCTTCTCTTGGTTACCATACTGTCTAGAGTTTTCTGGTTTGTGACTTGAAGTAGTTTAGTGTTTGAGATTGTATTTGGCCAGAAAATGTTGAATTCTACGTAGACATGTGTGGTGGAAGGTGGATAGCTTGTGTGCATCCTTTTTGGTCATTCTTCAGCATTCTGCTCCATAAAATGGAGGAATTATCTTTATGTAAATTGTGTGGGCAAAATGGACATGCAGTTGATTCAACGGAAGCAAAGTTGGGCACTCCTTCGAACATCGACACTGGGTGATGCAATCTACTGTTTGTTTAAATGACCATAATGGAGAAATCCAACGTTTGTATATGTTTATATAATGCTATTCTGTAATATTTAATATTGCTTCAGGTTAGGGTTAGCGTTAACCCTAATCTAAAAAAAAATATTAACTAAGAAGAATGATTTTATTATATGTGAACTTACAGAAGGAATGGTTACGTCCCCTACAATCAGTAGTTGAAGTTATGTCATGTTACAGTAGATTATATCCCCCTAGGGTCGCTGTTCATAGGCGCGCCCAAGATTGTTTATACCGAGGCAGCAGACACTCCAGGGTATTTCTGCTAATTGTTCCCATGAGAGATTGGTTATAATATCTCCTATCTTGACCTCGAAAACGGCATTGATGTGCTTCACCATGCTTTACTCCCATGTCACACAGTCATGTTAGTGTCAGCGATTCATCAATATCTACTAGCCTAGTCTGTATGGCGTGTGTGCATTGCTTGCCAGAGAATATTACATGGTGAGGCCCCAATATCTTCCACGGTGCGACTCTCATGCTACTGTCTGAAAACCATGATAATGGATTTTTTTCTGCCCACGCCAGTGAATGAACAACAGCCCTTGAGATTCATGCAGCTGTTAACATGCTCTTGTTGATTAATAATATAGGTCAGCTGTTAACATGCTGTTGTTAATTAATAATATAGATGTATTGTACTAGAAACGGCAAACATCAGTTCTCTCTGTGGTGGTACACATCAATATTCATCAACTATGAAAATAAAACACAACTTCCCCTTTGCCAATTTTTGCTGAAACTCTTTTGTTCACAACTCTGACCAAATCTGATAAGGTTTTGGTTTTGTTTGGTGGTTATTTCAGAATTGGCCATACATCTAGCCAGGTCGTAAACATGTTTAGTGCTGTAGTTAGATGTCAATAAGTCTCATGAAGTCAAGCTTCAAACCACTATACATTTAGAGTGTCTGAATAGTTTTATTTAAGTCAGTAAGGGATTAGACTTTCACAGCTGCTACTGTAATTTATAGCCAACAGTTGAAAACTGCATCTTTTAATGGCTACTTTCTAATATAGGTATACATGGTTTGATTTTGAGTTGGCAGATAGAAAGCCAAGAGAACTAGTATATTCAACCTTATAGAATCATGACTGAGTATATGTGAAACCTGTTCTATTTTAGCTGTTGGTGACTCATTCCAGTATATTGATCTATATGGGCTATACTGATGCATACTGTATTGATGTTTTGTATTGAGTAATTATCAACAAGGCTAGTCAGTGTTCATTTCTCTTCAGGATGTTGAATGCATAAACATGTTCAAAGTAAATTTTGTTATATTTACATCATGGAAGACAGTCATTGTTGATTTTGGGTTGTTAGCAGATCAGTCAATACATGAATGTTATTTCGGGGCTTATGGATGTTGTGTAGAAGGTGAACAATGAAACATTTGCAGTAAAACACATCACTTTCTTTAAGAATAAAAGAGGATCCAATAAAAGGCTGTTATATTGTTTCCAGCTCTGTGCATGCATAGCATGCAGTTTTATGGTTGATCTGCATCGTCGTCATGGACTTCAATTATAGAACACATTTGGACAGTAGAGGTTAAATATCTAATCACATTTATTCTAGTGTTAACACTGTTCTTTATGCCTGCGTAAATTTTTGTTTTTTAAACTGTTCAAGATTATAAGCTTTCTTGTTGTTTGTACTGTGGTTATGGAGGGAGCCTCTGTGGTGTAGCGACTACACTTTTGCCTGCAGATGCGAAGGTGGTGGGTTCAGGTCCTGACAGAGCTTGACATATTTTCAAAACTGACCTTGGCTCTCAGGCCGACCCAGCCTTAAATAAGTACCAAGTAAAATCCTAGGAAGTAAAATAAAATTATGGAGATAGCAAGGAGATGCAAAAGAAACCCTAAAACGATTTTGATGAGAGAAGCCAAAGGTGCTGGACTGAATTCCATTGATGATATCAATATCAGTATCAGGACTGCACTGAATAGAATGAGTGGAGGAGTAGAATGCAAGCTATATGTGACATATCATGGCACAACAGGACAATGATAATGATCAACCAAACTGGCCCATATTTGTTCATTCATCCAGAAAGATGATTGTATATTGTATTGCAGTTAACACACCATGTCTAGGTTGCTCCACTACCCACATAGACAGCGTGAATCTACACCTCTTTTATCAAGTGTTTAAATTGTAAGGAAACAGATCTGGACACAAAAATATGGAGTCATCTGTATTATTCATAACCTGGAGATTGCTTTGCTCAAGTCATAAATTAAATCCAAAACCTAATTGTGGTTGTATTTGCTCAACATTGGCTGTCATATTAATTTAAAAAAAAAAAAACTGAACAACGAAGAAAATAAAGTGAGAATGTCAACAGATTATGTAAAGTGTTGATAATATTCATTGTTACCTTTCCTATAGAGTAAACAAGGCAGGCAGAGTGAGGACATTCTTCGATGTTGCAGTACATCAGCCTGAGACGCAAGGGACCAAGAGACTGTATATAAATAAATGAGGTTTAAAAACGGATGCGCACACACCACTCAAATTCTGGAGCAAGAATGAAGTCCAGAGGTGGCTGAAACCCATAATTTTCCATTGAAGTTTACAGCCACCGCCCTTCGTTAAGTCACATGTTGCTGTTGACAGTCTGATCAGCTCCCTCCACGTTTGACGGCCAGATGCTGTGGACTTTTCGTTGCATGCCTAAGGCCTGTCTGGTTAATCAAGTTCTGTATCCAGACATACTTGGTCTACCTCGTCTCCTCTACTGAGCCCTGCAGTATTGTTTTTTTGAGGAGCAGTTAGATCTTATTACATGCTTGTACCGTTGTTATTTCTGACTTTTCACTGTAGTAAAAAAAAAAAGAGGTTCATAGTTGCCAATGTGGTGGGTAACATTAGACTTATAGTGCAAGCTAATTGTTTATATCCCAAAGGATGTACAGTGTGTAATCTTCTGCACTTTATGTGTATCAGATGTGTTATGTGTCAGGTAGGTTTTGTATGAAATGTGTATACTTAGCTCATGTGAAAGTATGAGTGATACCCTTATTATTTTGTTTTGCAATTTTCAATTTGTGTCATTATTGACATCTCACTTGTACCAGCGGCTTTGGGCAGAGGAGCACATTGGGGAGGATACTATAATTATAAGATGAAAAAATGCTACTTCAGAACTTTATGTTATGGCAGGGCAGACCAGGCCCTTGGTCTTAGTTGGCAGCTGTTCTAGGAGACAGGCTTAACAAGAGGGCTGACAGAGCACTTCTCTTCTGATTATCTGGCAGTTTCTGTGACATCCTTTGTTTGAAGTGTGTTGGAGAGAGAGATATCTTGCTGCATGAGCAACACATGGTCTCTATGATACTGACCATGCTTTGTGCTGTGGAGAGAAGGGACTTCATCCCTGGCCTTAGGTCGTATCATAATGGACTATGGTTCTCATGCCACCCTATAGCACAGTGGAACATTATCTCGAAAGAAAATAGGCATTAACAACTAGCTGAAGCTCAACAGTATCACTATGCAGCAAGCTAACAAGCATTCACTATTCTGGAAACCGATCATTAGCCATGCCTGTGATGCCTAACAGCGTTAAACAGAGAAAGACAATAAGGTGACAGGAAAAAAAATTTGTCATCATCCACCATGAAATATCTGGCTTGGAACTGCTGTAGTAGTATTAGGGCCGGTGAACTTGCAATGGTTTGAGTTCAGTCCTCAGCAGAGGCAGGATCATTTTTCTGACTAATATGACTCTAGGGTCAACCTAGCTTCATAAAACTGGGTAGCAGTTTTCAGAATCGTCTAGTAGGAAAAGGTGAGGAGGAGGAGATAACAAATATATGAAGCTCTAACACTTCACAGTTCAGTGACAGGTATCTACTAAGGCAACAGTCTGTACCTAAGTATTTGCTGCAACCTTTTGGGAAAAAATGATTAATTTTTGTCTCTTTAACATTTTGTACCAGTTAATTATAAATAAATAAATTTACATTTGTATGTGACACATTACTAGTGTTTTAGCTACAACTGGTGCACCTGCACTTGTTTAATTTAATGTCCATTATATCCTATCTGCGATTATTGCTGTCAATATCCTGCAGAAGTTGGCAGGTTTTAGCATGTCTCATTAGTCATGCGGCAGAGATGGAGTGCTAAGCTGTGTAGCAGATGCGAATGGGAGAAATCTTTATCAGAATGAAGTGAATGTCACATACTGAGATATTTATGATAACTTTACCTATCTTGATATTTTTGCTTGTCTTTTATGACAGTATGTTGTCGTTATCTTTATTGAAGACTGCAGACATATTTTTACAGAATAGGGGAGTGTATAAAAAAAAAAATATAATGGCTGTGTATATGGATAGTGCATATGTCTAGAGCATATCCTGTCCTTATTATTCTCTTTATGAAAACACTGATAACAAGGCTGCTTGAGCATTGAGTTGCTGTCAAGTACTTAAATGCTCATATATGTTAAGCTACTTGTGCATAATATTCAACAGTGGGGAAAGGAATTTAAAAAAGAAAATAGTTTATGTTGTCAAGTGTTCTAGAAATATGAAATAAAATAGTTCCTGGTGATTGAAGTTACTATCACACTACAAATCAAGTCATGTGTTTGTCATTTTTGAACATGACACTTTTCACCTATTAGATTTAGGCTTATAGTTGTGGTGCCTGAACTCTAATTAAGATAGTCAGCCAGAACTCTAATCAGCAATCCTTCTAAATGGCTGTATTATTAACCATGCTGTTCATGCTGATAACGACTGTCAAGCTGCAGCATTTATTTTGTTACCCATAACGGTTTTTGCGGGACACTGAGTAGTTCTATTGTTCATGCTGGTTGATTTTTAAAATTGTATTTGCAGTGAACTGCAGTTCAATCATTTCATTTCCCGTGTAATTTGAGAAGAACTGTTAAAACCACTAAGTAAATTTTTACGAATACAACCTAAATCAGTGCTTTTCAACTGAGTTTACTCAGAAGTCAAAATTTCTTAAATGATGATCGCCAAGGGCCAGATGTCTGAGCATCAGCATAGAAAGATCATTAATATCATTATCCGTGGACCACCTGTTAGGCCTTTGCAGGCCAGATTTGGCCCGTGGGCCACCAGTTAATAGCCCTGGCCTAAGATAATAATTCCCCCCTGAGCTTGTGATAGTGGATTATATCTCTAGTCTTGTTGCCTGTTGCACACCATGAAAAAAAAAACTCTTTGGAAAACAAAAGATTGAACTCTTTGTTGCTTAACTCTTTGAGGCCCTAGCAACGCTCTAAGTGTTGATTGAAAAGTTCCGATTTGCTCAAACAACACTGTCAGCGTCGATTGTATGTCCCTGACATATTGATTCACTCACTGCTCAGTATTTGTTTCTTATGTTTGGAACTACCATTCAAGTATTCAGGGAGGGTTACTCTAACATTTGTCTTTGTATAGAAGTATTTATTCATTCACGTGTGGTCGCATAGATGTATTGCACATGTTTGTAGCATTGGATTCTATCTGCAATTTTGAACTTTATTTCTTGCTTTCTTTTTCTTTTTCAGAAAGACACGTTAGGGCAATGGTTGTTTGATCGAGTATGTGAAAAGTTAAACCTTGTTGAAAAGGACTATTTCGGACTTCGCTATGTCGATGCAGAAAATCAGCGGGTATGTTTTTAACTGTGAAATATGATTTTGGTTAATTGGAAAGTTCAGTTTCGTAATTCTGTTTATAATTGTAACTATCTTTAAAATCAGTAAAGTTGTTATTTTGACTGAATTTATGGATCCAGTTGATAATTTTTATAAATAAGTAATGCAAGGAAACTATATCCTTCCCTGTTGTTGGGTTAAAAAAAAGTATGGCTCCTGATATATAGAAAGAATGACAGAAAGAAAAAAAGTTAAATGGGAGTAGACCATAAACTAGATCAAGAAGACGGTGGTAAAATAATACACAGGAAGACCTTCAGACACTTCGAATAACCAACTGGAAAGAGGTGGCTAATAACAGAATGAACAGAGAAACCTAATTTTGAAAGGGTTAAGGGGCGCACAGACCTGATTTACATTCTGCCTTTCTGACCTCACAGATATGAATAAAGGCGGGTGATATCAACAGCAGTCATCCTCACGTGTTCAGAATGCTGAAGAAAAGATAGTTCCTGAAAGAGGATGTAGGGAATCACTGCTAGCATTCTTGGATAATAGTGCACAGTAGGAGCAGTTGGAGAAAGCAGAGAGTAGATTGCATGGCATCTGCCCTTATTCAATTCATTCATTGTCCTATTGTGGGGTTGTATGTCACATAGGGTTCGCAGTCTTTTCCTCTATTCCATTCTATCCTGTATAGTCATTTCAGTGTCATGGATTCTTTTTAAGGTTTCTTTTGGTCGTCCTCGCCTCCTTAATCCCTTTACTCCCCTTTTTAGTACCTTTTCTGTGATTGCCTGCTTGTTTTTTATCAGAATGTCCAGTTTAGCACCACCTTCTTATCTGTCTTTTAACTGTTGATACTAGTGGTCTCCCATTAAATTTCTCTTTTTTCTTCACCACTTTTGAATTGATCCCATTTCATGCTCATCACTTTCCTCAGGCATTTGTTTTTGAATGCATTTGACTTTCGTTCCATGTCTTTAGTGGTTCTCCAATTTTCCTTGGCATGTGTTAAAATTGAAATAACGTTCGAATTGAAAATATGTAACTTGGTTTTAATACTTTACAGTTTAGATTTCCATAATTTTTTTGTTCAGGCTGTTAAAAGTTGCCAATGCCTTTAGATGAGAAAGGGTTGGGCGTCAGGCCAGCTCCACCACCCTGTAAAACATTATTTGCTATAGAAACTAGCAGGAAAGGATGCTGCCCTTATACAGTGTCAAAATGTGAAAACCTCACAGCAAAGTATTTATAGTATATTTGGGTCAGGGATACAAGCAACACAATTCTTACTTATACTAGAAGTTGTGCACCATCTTATGGTTTCTTTGTATGACTTTTTGAACTTATAGAGGTGTCCATGTACATTGTGGCCAATGGGACACAGTGGTCAGTAGGCTTACTAGCCAAGACAGTGAACCCTCCATTACTGCCTATATTTTCCACTTTTGCTGTGAAGGCAGGAGGGCAAGGGGGTGTCTTTGAGCCTGAATGGCTAGTGCTGTTGCCACAGATTGTGCGGGTCAGGATTTTATTATTACCTCTTGACAGAAACAAATCTCTAACCTTACAGAGGATTCGAATCCGGGTCTCACCCTTGAGTACCTAGCATTTTTACCGTTCGACCAGCTGCTTCTCTGCTAAGACAGTGGTTCGTATTTAATCACTAGAAGTTATTCTTTTTGTCCTCCACTCCCCACCCCCATCCCCCAGCCAGTCAGTAAAGCTCTGTGGTCAACCCAGACTTTAAAAAAATAGAAACTGGATAATTCCCACCACCGTTTCGGAAGATAAGGTCGTGGAAAGGAACTGGCAATCTTTTTTTTTTCAAAGCCTAGAATATGTGAAGGCCTAATACTTGACATCCCCGCAGCAGTATCTTCTATGGTACTGCTGTTCAGCCTAGTTTGCTTTGAGCAGTTGGACAGCAGAGGTACTGAACTACATGACTAGGGCCTGGTCAAGACCTATCTGAACCTCCCTGTAGTCATCCTAGAACAGGTTCCCAACCAGGGGCCTAGTCAGTGTAGATAGGATCCATGTTTCCTTCCAGGTCGGCATGAACCTGCCTGATAGACAAGAAAATAATCTTGTGCACTCAGATAAGCCAGACCTTTAAAATGGATATTCATGCAGAACTCAAGTCTTGGAACAAGGCCACAGCCCAGAAGTGGGCGAACAACCAGGACTTTCCATTAGAGTTTACTGCTGGTGAATGCAAAGGCGATGAAAAAATAGTTTTGTTGTTAAAGCAGAGCTTTCCAGACTTTTCATGTTGGTGACACACTTTTTAGACACACCTAATTTTGCGACACAGCAGTTTATTCCACTAGTAAACCACAGGTTTAACTACCCCCTTTTTAGAGATGTGGACACATACAAAAATGGCATTTGTGCAACACATCTTTACGCTACAGCCGACACCTAATGTTATTCAACACAGTTTTCAAAGCTCTGCTGTATATAGCAAGTACTCTTTCCCAGCTTTTAAGTATGTTTTGTTTCTGCTTCTTTTCTTTACAGCACTGGCTTGATCCACTCAAAACTGTTTATAAACAGTTAAAAGGTAATTCAAAAAAAATTTCTTTTGTGTTCAAAAGCCTCATTCTAGTATACAGTTTATCAACATATTACATCTATCTTTAGCCAAGCTGAACATAATAAACAAAACGTTCTTTATGCAGCCTTTATTATTAAAAGAAAAGTAGTAGTTGCCTTAAGCAGTGGGTTTATTAATATTAGTTCTGACGTAGGAACTGCTAGAGAAAATGTTTCCTTTAACCAGAGTTTTGTAGAGGCATTTATATAAGCTATTAATTAATAGATGATCATAATTTGAATATTTCTTCGTCAAGAATATCTTTTGTGTCAGTTTGTCAAGTTAGCAGTTTATTTGTATATTTTGATATGCTTTCAGTTGTTTCCATCTGCTTAATGTGTTTTATAATTATGTGTATGAAAGTAATAATATTAGGCGTGTATAACAAGACAGGGAGGGCACTACAGTGGCTTGTTTTACTTCTCCTACCCTTACCTCCACTGAAGCAAAGGCTTCAACCAGCTCTATGCGAAACTATTTTATTGGTGCTATATCTTTCCTGTATTATTCATCTGTGTTTGTGATTCTCTTTGTGTTTTCAAGTTTCTTTGCTGTTTGAGATTACAGGGTGTTGGGTGGCATTGTTGGCTGCACTGTTCAGCGAGGCACTTTGTCATTTTTAAGTTTGTTGCATATCTTTAAAAAAAATGTTACAAGCAATTTTATTTTCAGTAATTTGTGTGTAATGAATCATTTTCTCATTTTTTGATTAATGTTCTCACTATTTATAAATGAGGCTAAATACTAAGTATAATTTATGTGCTCGAATTCAGATGAGTGTGTATAATGTATGCATGAACAGATCGAGTAATGAAAAACTCGAGACAAATGTGCAAGTTGACTGAAAATGTACCAGTTAAGAAAAGCATGAATATAGCATGGAACATTCAAGAATGAGAGGAAAATAGGTTATTTAAACCTGGGATGAATGAGACGTGTTAGTTTTCTTTTTGATGTTAAGAAAGCTGGGATGTATGTTGCTTGAAAAATGAGAAGTACGTGAGTCTGCAGAGAAAGTGAATATTAGAACTAGCAGCCAACCTGGGCAGAAAATCTGAATATCCAGTTCCTTACGAATGGCTGAGCTGGCGTCTGCTGCGAGGCGAGTGTTTCTGTTCAAGTGTTTGTTTGGTAGATCTTGAAGTGTCTTCTGGTAGAAGTGCTGTGTTTGGTCATCCTGTGAAGGTAACATTCGTAATATTGATGCTTTTGTTTATGGCCCGTGTGAGCGTCCTATGATGCTTTGACGGAGGAAACAGTTGTTGGAACCAATAAACCTTTCTCAGAGATGCCAAGCCATAAAGAAATTGTTGTGCAAACCTTGCTGTTTGAGTTGTTAATTCTTATACCACATGAAGAATTCCATCCTTGTAACTGGGAGGTCTGGATCTTTGGCGTAGAGGTTGTAACTGTATCTAATTAGCGGTGTGGCATTTCCATTTCTTGTTTCGTGTTCAAGATTATGTTGAACCATCTGTCAGTGGGCCTGAGAAAGCTGCATGTGACCAGAGCCTGAGGACAGTCATTGCATTGGCACTGCTATCTGAATGGTCAACTCTTGATACCAGTGTCACAATCAGTGTAAAGCATCTGCTGCCAAATTACCTGCAGCCAGAATAGAACAGAGTACCTCAGAATATGAAGCACGTTTGCAATGCCTAAGCCACAGGCACAGATTTTCTCAGTTATGTGGCCTGTTCAGTGCCAGTTTTTTTCTCACACTTTTTGGTTTTCTGGAATTAGTTTATTTCAATCCCTGAGCTCCACATTTGTGAATCTGTTATACCGTTTTCATACTTCTGTTCTGCGCAGTCACAACTCAGAGAATATTAGTTTATTGTGTCAGTCTTTCTGAATTTTTCTCCTTATACCACAGTGCAGAAGTGATTGGACATTCTTCTTCTTCTTCTTCTTCTTCTTCTTCAGCATTCCAAGCCCTTGAGATTCATTGCTGCAGATATCACCCACCTCCATTTATCTCTCTGGTTGGCCTTCTCTTTCCAGTTGGTGACATCAAGTGTTTGCAGGTCTGCCTGGACATTATCTCTCCATCGTCTTCTTGGTCTGCCTCATGGTCTACAACCATTCATCTCCCTTGTGAATACAGTTTTTACTTCTCTGTCATCTGACATTCTTTCAACATTCCCCAACCATTTCAGTCTATTAGCTCTCAAGATGCCTGTGATCAAAGGTGATTTAAACAAATTATGAATTTCATTTGTTACTTCTCCCTCTATATTCCCCGCTATTTGCATCTTTAATGGGTCCAAAGATTCGTCGTAAGAAAACCTGTGTTACGGCTTTATCTCTTTTAGTTGTGCTCCAAGTTTCAGAGCCATATAAAACGACTGGTTATATCAATGTTTGAAAAATTTTGATCTTGGTGTTGCAAGACAGATACTTTGACTTTAGCAGATGTTGAAGGGCATATTGTACTTTATTTCCAGATTGTATTCTAGATTGTATTTCTTCTCTCAGCATGTTGGAGCAGTTGAGGTTTGCATCTAAGTACTTACATGTTTCCGTTTGTTTGATTTTCACAGCTATTGGACATTACAGCTCAATACTCTGAGCATGATCTTCTGTTTCTTCAGCATTTCAAACCTTTAAGATTCACTGCTGCAGATATCATGCGTTGCCATGTGTCTCTGTGACTGGCCTTCTCTTTCCAGTTGGAGACACCAAGTGTTTATAGGCATGCCTGGATAGTATCTCTACATCGTCTTCTTGATATGCCTCTATTTTGTATCTGTTCATCTCCCCTTTCTGCCATTCTGTTTACCCCAGCCCTCATGATGCCAGTGATCAGTGGTGATTTACACAGATTATAATTTTTGTTGTTCTGAGTGTGATACTTGATTTAATTTCTGTAATGGTTACGTGTACATAACATACCACTTTTGAAGAGAAATGTGAAATTATCTCTCATTTATGTCATTCTGTAAAGAATGTTTTCAACTGCATTTATTCTGAGATAAGCAATCAGAGTACAGAAAACTGTGCATAGAGAGGAAATGGAAGGCTTGTAGTATTTACTGTTAAGAATTAACCTGTTTGAATACTTTATTCTTAATATCTGATTGGTCTAGAAAGAGGGCCATGACATCTGCTTTCTTTTCTCTGTTAGCTGGGTAAATACAGATCACGGTAAAGGTAAATAGTGGGTGAATCTGAAGCATAGGAAAATGTCTTTAGGCCTGTGGCAAGGTCCCACTTTGTATCAATTGTAATGTGCAGCTGGCTAGTTAGTTATATTAGGATTTCTTTTCTTCTTCTGCATTCGCTTTTAGAAGGGTGGTTGGTTGGTGTTCTCTGTTGTGGTTTACAGCTAGGATGCAGTATCAGTGCCTTTCGACCCAACACATCCCGTTTCAACAAACCCCTAATTTTTATGACATGCTTATTTGGGGGAGGGAGGGGGTCTGTCTTTTACAAAACATGAGCTCACAGTGTCGACATTGGGAACCTCAGGATTTACATAGTGGTACTTATTTAGACCTGCTTTTATTATATGTATTTTCTGCTACTACTGACTCTGTAGTTTCACAAATATGTAATCCTCATAGGACAGGTTCTTTGCAGAACGTTTCTCCTAAACAGCACTCTGGAAAATCACTGTATCCTTTGCTAGCTGTCCCGCACACAGCACTCTGGAAAACCCAGCTGTCCCGCCTCATGAACTTTCTTGTCCAGGTTATACCTATTGTCGGCTGGGTTGACTCCTGCCTCTTTTTCCAGTAACACTACCCTCCATGATTGTTCTCTATGAACTATTACAGCTTATTGTCTTTGTGTCATTCCTCTTCTGTTCTTAAATATGTTTTAAGTATGAGACCTGAAATAAGTCTTATTCTCAGAGAGGCCAAGACATACAGAATTGTTGTTGTGTGAACCTTGTTGTTTTGAGTTAATTCTTATACCACATGAAGAATTCCATCCTGCTAGATGGGCAGTCTGCACCTGTGGCTTAGAGATAATGAGCATTGTTTGTAATTGTGTGGTACCTAGTTTGATTCCAGCTGCTGGCAATTTGGCAGCAGACTGCCTTGCATTGTTTTATACAGTCAAGAGGTGACCGTTCAGAAAGCAGTGACAAACTACTGAACTTTAACTAGTTAAACTGCAAATAGCCAACAGGCTGGGGTTGGTATGTGATGATCTCTAAAGTATTTGCAATTATACTAATTTCACTCATATGTATCTTGTCTCCGTGCATGAGTGCAAGGATTGGGTGTTGAATATCTACCACCATCAAGATAGCCCTGACTCTGTTTCAGTATAGAAGCATGTGAGGTGTGGTCTTCAGCAGGGTAGTGCCCGAATAGTCATAGTAGAATTATGTAGAAATTCACAGGGACTAAATTATTAGGTCATATCACAAGATGCAGGCACTTTGGTATAATGGCTAGACACTCGCCTGCGGATCTGAAGGTCGTTGGTTCTGGTCCTGACAGCCAGATTTTTTCCTTAAAAAAAATTACCTTGGCTCCCAGGTTGACCCGGCTTAAATGGGTACCAGGTAAAGTCCTATGAAGTAAAGGTGGCTGGAGTGATGTTTGCCACATCACCCACCAAGTACCGGTTGGTCTGAAAAATATAGGACTAACTTTATATGCCTAATGCACATGAAGCCTTATATGCCTAATGCACATGAAGCCTTATATGCCTAATGCACATGAAGTCTTATATGCCTAATGCACATGAAGCCTTATATGCCCAATGCACATGAAGGTGTGGAAAAGGGTCCTTTACTAGGGTCATAAGATAAAAAAATAAATTGAAGATAGTAATAAAACTTATAGGAATAAAGGGGTTTTGGAGGTGGAAGAGGAGTAGTAAGAGACTATGATTATAGGCAGTTTGACACGACTTAAAATTAAATCAGTCATTGTTTTTGTATTTTAAATGCCCAACCATTGTGTAAGTCACTTAAAAAAAGAAGTGGTAGTCTTGAACTACATTAATCTGCCTTTTTATAGTGTATACTGGCTTTGCCTAAATGGCAAGGGTTCAGACCTGCATCAATGCAGAGATTTTAATTTCAGAATTGAACTTTCCTTCCAGGTTGACCCAGCAGAACATAGGTACAGGTAATGTTATCAGAAGTAGAAACGGCCATTTTGATGCTAATCACCTCACCCATCAATTGCCAATTGATCTATAAAAATTGGGGTCTGGCCCTGTATGCCCGATGTGTGAACAGGTGTGATAAGTGTCCTTTACCTTTTTTTTTTATGTTGGTGTGTTATAGAATTGCCAGAATGGATGCTGGTGTCACACTTGTGCTAGAGCTTAGTTTTGGTAATTTCTGTAATATATTTTCATCTCAGATGCATTTCACACGTGTTTGATTTAAGACATTATTATAGAGAATTGGTTAACCACGTATTATAGAGAATTGGTTAACCACAAATGTAGTGTCGTTACTTTTGGTGAAACATACATGCATATTTCAGTATCTGAGCAGATATGATGACTCATGTCTTGTAGGGTTAGTGTTTCAACTTGTTATCTTTCAGGACTCAGCAAAATGGTTTTGTGTTTCCGGGTCAAGTTTTATCCAGAAGATCCCATGAAACTGCATGAAGAGATTACAAGGTCAGGGACACATGTGGTGAACTTTTCTTCTTTTTCTTCTTCTTCTTCTTCTTATATATTATTATTTTGCATTAACTCTTAAAAGTGTGGTTTACGATATGTTGTGTTTGCAGTGTCTGCGCCTTTTAGCCCATCATATCTGATTTTAGCAAACCCTCAACTAGTCACCTTCAAGACATACATGTTGACTCTTTCGCCCCCACATAGCCAATATTTGTGCTGTGCCATCAGTTCCGCATCCCTGGGATGACCATATATAGAGGTTTCATGCTTTTGGGCAGTCTCCTTTTGGTCTAGTTCACAGCATTTGTTTTGTTTACGCCAGTGCAGTGTTTATTAGGCCGGGATATGATTATATTTACTAAAATAGCGTTTAGGTAGGTGGGAATTTTTTTTTTTTTTTATTTTTAAAGTCTTTGTGACGGCATAACCAGCCTCTGGTGGTTGCATAATGATGAGGTGCCAGTATGAGTCAGTGTATATGTGTTTATGCCCTGATTTAACAATATTCATCACAAGGTTCACAAGTTTTTGTGTTAGTCGCCATGAAGCTAATCAAAGAATATGTTTATGACTTTGTTCTTCAGTGCTTCTGTTATGGTCAGACGTATAGTTATGTAGATTATGAGTTCACTCTATTGAGGCGTTTTGTATTTTTGTTTGTTTGTATGAGTTATGTAGGGGTCTTCCCAAGTTTATTGTCTGTCATACATGCTGTTCCAAATATATTTAATATTGTATTTGGGTACAGTTATGTTTGTAATTTATCAGCATGTAGCAAGTCTATTACACAATGTTAGTGTGAACATATCCCCACAGAAAGACCCTGGATCCTTTGCTATTTCCCCACCTTGGGCATTTTCATGCTCAGGATGGTAATGTTTAGGCATGTGGACAGATAGCAGAGAGACAGAAATAGCTTACAAAAAAAAAGAGTTGATGTGGAGTAGACCACGTGACAGACTCACAAAAATTGGTGGGGAGGTAATATTGAAGCAGACCTACAAACACTTGAAATTACAACCTGAAACGAGAAAGCTGATAATAGAAATAAATGGAGACTGATAAAATCTACAGCAATGAATCTCAAGGGCTCGGAATGCTGAAGAAAAAGATGAGCGTTCTTTCCTTTCTTGTTTTGTCTTCTTCACGTTCAACCAGCATCCCTGGGGATCTTTAGGTTACAGTTGTAACTAGGTTATTTGCCCCATATAAAATGGCTTAGAATTGCTAACCACCATGTAGCCCTGTAAAGGACTCTTGCATAGTTTTGATGCGATCAAAGGAGTCAGACCTAAATACTGTCCTGACCGGCGTCAGAGTCGTCTACCGGCCAGTGGACAAACCGGTCGCCAGTGAAAGAATAATGTTGTGCTTTGTCCACTTTTTCAGGATTTTTTTTTTTCTAGAAAGATGCAGGTACTTACCACAGTGTGTAAAAGCAGTTCCACTGGGTGTGGCCACAGGTAGCTTGTCCTGGAATGATATAAATGTAGATCAAAGTGCTTTCTTTAATTATTATATGTTGATCACTCGCGCAGCAAACAGTTGGCTGTTGTTTTACCTGTGTGACTTATCCTTGCAGGTATTACCTGTTCTTGCAGCTACGCAGAGATCTTCACCATGGACGGCTTCTGTGTCCTCATGATGAGTCTATTCAGCTGGCAGCCTACATCATACAGTGTAAGTATCACAGCTGGACTCTGGAATAGTCTCACTGGCGGACTGTAGAATTGTCTCACTGCTGGACTGTAGAATTGTCTCACTGCTGGACTGTAGAATTCTCTCACTGCTGGACTCTATAATAGTCTCTGTAGAATTGTCCCACTGCTGGACTGTAGAATTGTCTCACTGCTGGACTGTAGAATTGTCTCACTGCTGGACTTTATAATTGTCTCTGTAGAATTGTCTCACTGCTGGACTGTAGAATTGTCTCACTGCTGGAATGTAGAATTGTCTCACTGCTGGACTGTAGAATTCTCTCACTGCTGGACTCTATAATTGTCTCTGTAGAATTGTCCCACTGCTGGACTGTAGAATTGTCTCACTGCTGGACTGTAGAATTGTCTCACTGCTGGACTCTATAATTGTCTCACTGCTGGACTAGAATTGTCCCACTGCTGGACTGTAGAATTGTCTCACTGCTGGACTCTATAATTGTCTCACTGCTGAACTAGAATTGTCTCACTGCTGGACTGTAGAATTGTCTCACTGCTGGACTGTAGAATTGTCTCACTGCTGGACTCTATAATTGTCTCACTGCTGGACTAGAATTGTCTTACTGCTGGACTGTAGAATTGTCTCACTGCTGGACTGTAGAATTGTCTCCCTGCTGGACTGTAGAATTGTCTCACTGCTGGACTGTAAAATTGTTTTACTGCTGGACTGTATAATGATCTCACTGCTGGGCTCTGAAATTGTCAGTACAATATTTAACTATTTCAGCCTCAAGCTGTACATTCAGCTGTTCCGGTTTTCACATAGTGTTCTTAACATAGATTCATACATCTTTTTACTGCTTATGTTTAGTGAGCACATAGATATGAAGTTCCAGTGCTGGTCTTGCACAACCTGCTGGGGTAATTAAACTTTGCAGTACATTTTCTGTGGAGATAGCTGTTTAGTATTGTCTGTGTACACCAGCCTGACTGAAAGATCTAACCCCTTCTGTCGGGCTCAGGTGACCTGAACATAAGACCCGAATTAGAACTCCCAGTTTGCTTGACTTGGCAGTGGTAGAAAGTTTCTCACTTGCTTATCTTCTTCTTTGCGTTCACCAGCTGTAAACCCTGGTGGAAAGTTCTGGATGTTATCCACTTCTGGACTGCAGTCCTATTCCAGAACCTGAGTGTTGCATGTGCATCCGTTTTACAGATCTGACTCATTTGTACGCAAACTGCTGGTTTCGTTGCCTCTCAGTCAGATGCACTCCGACTTCAAAGGAAGCTACTTATAAGTCGATTCTTACGACATGCTTTTGGGTAGGCGGTGGGTCTATTCTTGTTTTTCCTATAAGAGGGCCCCGGAACCCACACGGGGAGTTACTTGCTAATTTCATTCATTTTGGTGCTGATATGTGAATGCATGCTTTGTTAATGGATTGTGTACATCATATCACTGAAGACAGAATAGTCAGTCAGTAGTCAGTTAACAAATCTTACTGTTTTTCTGTAGCGGAAGTTGGAGATTATGACCCTCAGGATCATCCTGTAGGCTATGTGACCAATTTCAAAATGTTGCCCAAGCAGACGCCCAAACATGAGGAGAAGATCATGGAGGCTCACAAGGCCTTGGTGTGAGTAAATTTATTCTTCTCCTATGTGCCTCTTATTCCTCCTCCCCCTGCTGCTGCTGCTGCTTCAGGTGAGTAATCGATTTAGACTTTGGTAGTCATGATATCTTATCCCTTCTGTTATGATATTTTAATAAAATTTATAGTTTTTAAAAATTATTATTTAACTTTATTGAAATTTATATTTATGTATTATTATTTGTTAACAAGCATAAACCTTCTATATTTATCTTTTTACTTGCATTTAACATAAATTTGTGTATGGTTTCCTTCTTCTAAGATTCTATGCAAGATAACAGGAATTAACTATCCATAGCATATTTTCTACTAGTCTTCTGAGAAAAGTGGCTTTACTGCCTTTTTGTTTGTCAGTTTGTAAGTACAAGTGTATTTTTTTAAACTGAGCAATTTTCACCTGAGGTCTCTGTCACCATTATTTGATTGCCCACTGTATGCTGTTACAAGTATTAAATAGTAAAATGTATATATTGTTGGTAAGACACCTGATTTGTTCTGTATGCATACACAGTGTGGTGAAGTCCCATCAGAGTGTGAAGCAAACTTTCTCAAGAAGGCTGCCAGCATGGACACATATGGTGTGGACCCTCACCAAGTGAAGGTCAGTCATTTATTTCTTACGCTTTTTCTTCTCTCCCCCTCCCCTTCTCTCTCTCTCTCTCTCTCTCTCTCTCTCTCATTCTGAGAATGTGTGTGCGTCTGCGCTTGTGTGTCTGTGTTAGTGTGTGTTCATCTGTGAGTGTATTTGTATGTATGTATGTGTGCTGTTATGTGTCTGTGTGTGTGTGTGTTTGTCTGTGGCTGTGAGTGACTGTGTTTGTGGCTTTGTGTGTGTCTCTGTGTGTGTGTGTCTTTATCGGTGTATCTATTATACGATGTCTGCATGTCTCTGTTTGTGTCGGTTTATGTGTCTGCCTGGATGTCTGTGTGCGTGTGTGCCTGTGTGTGTATCTGTGTGTTTCCCTGCCTGCGTGTGTGTATGTGTTTTTGTGTGTGACTGACTGCATGCGTGTGTCTGTGTGGGTTTATGTCTGTGTGCATCGGTGTGTGTGTTTGTATGGGTCTTTTTGTGCGGCTGTGTGTATGTAGGTGTGTGTGTGTGTCTATATGTGTCTGGGTTGTATGTGTGTGTGTTTTAGAGCGCATGTCTGTGTGGGTGACTGAGTATGAGTATGAATGTGTGTATGAACGTATGTATGTGTGTAAGTATGTATGTATTTATGCATGCGTGTGTGTGTGCATGTTCGTATGCATGTGGATGTGTGTGTGTGTGTATTGGGTGCCTATGTGAGTTTGCGTGTGTATGTGGGTGTGTGTTCGCGCGCGAGCGTGCACACATATTTTACCACCCATGCCTTTGTTTTTGACTTGATATTTATAATATGCATATTATTACATGAACATAACATGCTTTATTGATGAAATACAACTGCTGTGTGAAATATGGGAGTTTGGAAGGGCCGAATGTAAGACAGGCCTGCGTGCCTAATTTGTAACCCTTTGAAAATAAAGTTTGTTCGTTCGTTCGTTCATTCTCTCTCTCTCTATCTGTCTCTCTCCCCCTCCCTCCCCCCCTCCCCCAGTGTTCCTGGTCTATTCAACTGAATTTACTCAGGGGCAACATTTTGAAAATGCGGATCCTCACAGGCCAGAGGCCTAAACCTCAGCATAAAACGATCAGTTATACAATACAACTTGTAGTGATGCACAGCCACTTGCTAGGCCACCCAGGGCCAAATTTGGCTTGCCGGCTGCCAGTTGAACAACCCTGCAGTTTGCTAATAGCTTTGCTATCACAGTTCTGTAAATTCTTTAGTAGAGGGACTTTTTTCATTTTAAAATAAGGACTGATGATTTTTTTCTTAGCTTATCGTTGAATGCAAATAAATGCATTGTTTTGTATTTGTTTGCTATTTTCGCTGTCAGATAATTTCAAGTAAAGTTGAATTGCCATGTAGGAAGTTAAGGTCTGTATATCTTGGCACTGAAAGATTTATGTTCAGCTCACGATAATTTGGTGAGAAGCTGTGGTTTGGTATGATTAAAAAAGGACACAAGTTGGGATAATTTACAATGACCGACTACTGTGTGGCACAACAGAATCATTGTGGTCAGTAGTCGGACATAAAATATTTGCTGGGTTTAACCATGTAGCTCCTTGTCTTCTTCCTCTTCGCATTCATCAGCTGTAAACTCTGGAGGAAAGTTCTGGTTGTTTGTCTGCTTCTGAATTTTGATCTTGTTCCAGAACTTAAATGTTACATGCACATCTGTTTTACATATCTGGCTTATTTGTGTGCAGACCATTCATTTCTTGCTCCTCAGGCAGATACACTATGATTTTGCAGGAAACCCCTAATAATTTGACTCTTATGACATGCTTGTGGAAACACCCCCCCCCCCCCCCCTTTTTCCTACAATGGGGTTCTGGAACCCACACAAGGAGATTCCTTGTCAAAATGTGTTCTTTAGATTGCAGTTTGAAGGCAATCACTAGAGAGACAAGAGCAGAGCAGTAATCATAAAGAATGGTCAGGCTCTAACATTGCCAGACCAACATAATAGGGAGCAGTAAAGCACTTTTATGTTTGGAACCTTGACTAATAACACATAGGGTTATGAGATACAAGTCACTGCTGGGATGGTTGTTGGCAATTGCTGTCATATTCAAACTAAGGGCAAGATAAAAAATTGACTTACTGGATTGCATGTTATTTGTCTTTTATGAAAAGTTTTTTCTTTCTTTAGGATCAGAAAGGAGATCCCCTGTACCTAGGGGTGACTCATTTGGGCATAATGACCTTCCGTGGAAGCAGGCGGACTCAGCTGTTCAAGTGGTGGGTAGCACTTGTCATTTTTGCTGGAATTACTTTATACTTAACTAATAAATGAAGCTTGAGGGAACATATTACACTGAACACATCAGTGTAGTCAGTAGTATACAAATGCATACACAAACTCGGTAAGGGAGTAGCGGCTGGCCGGTGCACTGCCCTCATGCAGGAGACCCAGGTTCGAATCCTCGGTAAAGTTGTGAACTTTTTCCTGTCGGCAGCACAAATAAAATTCCTCGCCTGCACAGGCCATGGTGACAGCACTAGCCACGTGGCCCTAAATCCTCGGGCTCACAGACCCCCTTGGCCACAACACGAAACTTGTAAATACAGGCAGCAAGAACAGTTTACATTCACTAAGTGCTAATATTAATATATTGAGAACATTTGTTGTTTTTGGTAAACATAAGCCATAGAATATTCATTATCATGTGTCCTGCCAGATGGCATAGGCACTGATGTCTCTGTATGAAGCCAGATCTGTACAGAACGTGCATGCAGAACCCAGATCTGGAGCAAGACTTTAAGTCCAGGAATGGACGAACAACCATAACTTTCTGCTGGGGTTTACAGCTAGTGAACACAAGAATATATTCATGACCTACATTTTTGATGATACAAATGTTTTTTATTTTTTTTTTTTAAATGTGTTCTGCAATTTTGTTTTTATCATAGGAACCAGATCAGAAGAATTGCTTATGAAGGCAAAATGTTTATCATTAACCACACTAATTCTGAGGTAAGATCTATTGTGTGGGTGGTTGCTGTGTAAATGTTGGAGCCATATCCATGCTGTATATTTATAGCATATATTTCCTAGTTCCCATGTTCTCTTCAACAATTGATTGTCATTTACAGGTTAGAAACTATGTAGGGCATAGAATACCTTAGCTCCAGATTGTTTTCTTGATTTTATTCATTTGCTTTGTATGTTGGAGCAGTTAAAGTTCATGCCCTTCTTGTATGTTTCCTTTCTTTTAATAAGTATTGATAATTTGACCCACTTTTTCTTACTGCTCTGTTTAAGTGTGTCAATGTTTTTACCATCTCCAATTACCGCATTCCTTGATTTGTTGAATTGGTTTGGAGTTTCCGCATCACAGCACTCTGACATACCAGTAACCTCTTGCTGCCCATCTTCAGCAGTCAGCGCACAGTTCCATTTATGATGGTATCACTAGCAGTCTCATTGTATGCCTGTCTTGCCTTTCCTTTGAGTATTGAGTGTCGACCAGATCCTCAGGTCACTGCCTGCTGCAACATTCTCTCCAGTGATCTGTTTGTGCTACTGTACTGTTCACTTACTGCCAAAGATTTGTGACCACATCTAGTTTGTCATACATCAGTATACCATCAAGTTGGACAGAAGCAATGTCTACCTGTTTGTTTTCCTTCACAAGGAGCTAACTACCCCAGGACCTTGGAAGTATGCTTGCCACTCTACAAGGAGCATGTCTGTCTCCACCTTTTTCAGCATACTTTGTCTAATAGTCATGACACAGGTGGTTCACAAGCCAGTGCAAAGCTGTAGTGACTGCCTCCACCTCTATTCTTAAACTAGATTTTGTCCTATTATATGCCAGGCTTCTTTAAAATAAAGGTTGTCCATGAAAATTAGCTATGAACTCTATACACTTCCACCTCATAGCACAGAACCATCTGTATATAAATAATCAGATACATTATTTGTTGAATTTCTGATTTTGCAGAGCCTGCTGGCCAGTCCATGCACTCCTGGCCCAGTGTGATTAGAATCCTACACAACTTTGATTTTTTTGCTTTGACCCAATCCTCTCCAAGCCTAGTTTTTTTTTTCAAGCATGCACAAATGCCAATTTTTGTCTTCAGCTTGCACCATCCAAGACTTTCCTTTTCAGTTTATGACCCTTATCTCTACTAAAGGCTTTATGCAGAAGTTGTTTCTTGTCTGCAGCTAGTCTGAAGTATGACCTCACTTGCAGTACTTTGAGCTTATCTGTAAGTTGGCAGTGCAAGTATATGTCACATTCATTCTACCGGGACTTATTTTGTATAACCCAGAATCACCTGCAAACTTCATATCCGTATATGTTCATGATTCTGTGAGCAGTTTCCATAATCCATCACGGAAATGATCAAGTGCTCATACAGTGCAATCAGTTTTCTGTATTCCATGTCCATCGCTGCAAAAATTTGTGAGTGCATTGAGTTCCTTTTGGCATTTTGCAGATGTCTTTTCATTTTTCTGATATATATTCTTCTACTTGAATGATATCCTTATAGTTTATTGATAAATTATCCCTAACTGCATCTCTGATGTCTCTGTCATGATCTGTGTTTCAAACCTGTGAGGGAATGCTTCCCCATTCTTTGTGTCTGTTGTTATCATGGGTATACCATTGTCACTGTGTGTTGTGCCTGTTGTGGTAGGCTGATATTTTCTTTGCATTTTTTTATCTGGTTACATTAATTTATTTTCTGTAATATTTAACAGATACGTCTGTTAATTTGTTGTAAATGAAGCAGATCATAGCTTAACAAGTTCCCCCTCCATAACTAAAGATAATACTATTTCGACTCAGAAATGTGTGAATTAGATATAAGAAATCTAAGATTGGTGAAAGGGTTAACCATTGTTATATGAACATTACTCAATCATATTATTAGATCGATGTCTCACATATTGCTGAACGAACAGGTTATACCTGATAGAAAAGCAGCACTAACTTCCTATGTTACAGGCTTAGACATTAACATGAGGAGGCAGGAAAAGATTGGGGGGGGGGGGGGGGGGGGGGGGGGGGGTGCCTGCAGAATGTAACATAACTTAAAAACTGTTGGGCTAAATCAAAATGTCAAGAAGAACTTGGGATGACTGACTATTTTTAGACTAAATAAAAAAATTTGACAAGTTAAATGGGTTAGCCATATAACAATTACAGACTAGATGCTGAAAGAGAAAACTTAAACTTACTCTCTGGAGATGTGTAGATCTGATTTCATAGAAACAGAAACAGTAAAATATTGCGGTTCTGAAGAGACGGGGATTGGAAGAATTGCTGGAAGAAAAGGAAAACACAGACATTTTAAATATTGCTACCTCATTAATAGACATAACACGCTTTTAAAAAAACATACTGAAAAGAAAAGTTGAAGGCGGCAGAGGAAGAAGTAGTAGACAAGGATGCAAAAGGGGAGGGGGGGGGGGGTGCAATATCAAAAGATGGATGAACAGCAGTGTACAGAGTGAGTGAGTGTACAACCAAGACAAGAGACTGAGTGTGTTTGAGATCCATTGCAGGCAGCTTTTATTGTGGAGGTGGCTGCTGACACAAAACACTTACATGTAAACACAGTGAGAATAGAGCAACAGGTTACCCTTACAGGCAATGGATTGATGCAATACGACCACGGTGGATCACGCATTTCTGATGCTGAAAGGCACAGCAAAGATGTAATTTTAAAAATCTTGTTAATATTGAGTTAAAACAAAATTATTTAATATGTTTATGAGAAACTTGTAAACCTGGATATGAATTAGGTAGGGACATTGATTCCAATGTTTGTTGCAGGATGAAGATGCCTCTAGTTCTAAGAAGGTGAGGGTTTTTTGTTGTTGTTATTATGATAAACTTGTCATGAATTATCCTCCTTGATACTTCTATCTGTAGCAGTTGACTAAAAGATGTATTATTGCTTTCATTGCTCATTATTATTATTTATCAATTAAAATGAAATATACAGTCCGCCAAAAAGATGTAAACACAGTAATTGCTCAGCAGTGAAATACATAAACGTTTTCATAGAGGCTATTTATTTTAAACCGTCATCCTTATGTGACATATTCCACCGTATTTAGATTGAATTACCGTAGCTATCTTTTGTATGAAGGTTAGGAAAATTGTATGAGGACAAATGGAAATCACTTTGAGCACCTGTGGTAACCTCATACATCACTTGTAACTTGTATGCATCTCTTCATGTCTGAATAAATTTGGTATCAAAATGTTATTTTGAAAACTCCATGCAGCAGATTTCTACTATAGTGCATTCAAAACATCGTACATGTCAATACATTTCACTGCTAGCCAATTAACTGTGTATACATTTTTGTGGCGGACTCTGTACATTTTTAATTGCTTTTCCTAATTAGCTAGCATGCATCACATTTCTACACTAACTTACAAAGCCAGATATTTATGAATTAGCAATCAGGTTTTACTGTTAGATATCATCTTTATTAGCAGACAGTGCGTGTGAACAGTTTTCTTTAGTGGATCCCTCTTGAGTATTGAAGATATTTTACATAAATATTGTAAGAGACATCTAGTAAAAATATACGTAAATTAACAGTAAATCCCTTTGTCACAGTATAATAAAAAATATTCTTATTTCAGCAATAAACTGTTAACTGTGTTGGTATTGGGCATTTCATTTCAGTCTTAAGTTTGAAAGGAGCAAATACTGTAAACAGGTTTAATGCAGTTATGCCCAAACAGAATGTCAAATGAAGATATATAGCTGCTTTTTCTATACCATACTGATGTCTTTCGGTATAAATTTCAAGCTGGTGGTTGATGTGGAAGCTAGGTTTTTTAAAAGTTCTAAATAGATCTGTCTTAGCATTTTAAAACCTACAAGGCTTGTTTAATGCAAAAAATGTATTCATCTTTTAGAAACCTTATTAGATATAATGCAGGATAGATAGCTTGTGTATGGTAGTCGTTTGATCTAGTTGCAGTAACACGTGTGAGGGAAAGATGCTGAGGCAAGCGGAAATTTTGTGAGAAGATACAAGTGCTGATTCGGTGTTGGGGATCAGTATTCTATAGCAACAACAGAAATGTGCACTCATGTTGAAATAGTTTGTGCATTGTCTGTATCAGAGGAATTGAAGAGTCACAAATCACTTTAAAGGCAAAGAACCAACAAACTGTACAAAAAATAAGCTAGGCCTGTAAAATGGATGTACACACAAAACTCAAGTCCTGGATTGGAACACAGCAAAAGTCCAGACATGGATTAACAACCAGGACTTTCTGCCTGAGTTAACATTTAGGAGACAACAAACATATCACTTTGAAAGTAGTGGCATTGATAGGCAGTTTAAATGTTTCTGTCATAAATTATCTGCCTAGTCAGTTCCATAATTTACATTTCTAAAATTTGCATTTTCAAATCTGCTTCAAAGTCTTTATGGCCAATTAAAAATCTGGCAGCTATAACACTTAAAACCATGAGGTGCATGCAAGATCACCATATAGTACACCATATAAATATGGGGGAGGGGGTAAAGTTTTAGTGCAAAATCAGTGTTATTTTGGAAATGTTGAATAGTGATAATAATGGGAACACAGATAGTGACATATTTGTATGTGTAAACTCACTGGACTGGCTATTTTAAGTGTTGTGTTTATTAAATGGTCTTTATTAAGTTTTTAAATGTATTTTGACAGTTCGTTGTGTACTTCTCAGTAATGTCGATTATTTTATGCTAGATATTCACCTTTCAAATCAAACATCCAAATCTATTTACTGATCTACTTTCTTCTTTCTTTTTTGTGAGAGCATTTGCACTGTTCTTGTTTTGTGTTGGTCAATTAAAGAATGGGGAGGGTGGGGGTGTTTGGGATTATAATGTTACAGAGTTGTGAGCCAGTGTTGGGTTGGATTAACTTCACAGCACTCCGGATACATCCATAGGTGTTCAGATTCCTCCTTGACCATATTCGTCAGCGTGGTGCGGTTAATAGTGCCTGT